TGCAGGGTCAAGTGTTGCAGGCAGCTGCTGTAAACCCCGGCCCGGCCCGGCGCTGCGCTGCGGGGCCGGCGCTCCCAGCCCCGGGAAGCTGTCCCTGCAAGCCGGCAGAGTGCAGAGAAGCAACCGTGCCAGCTGGTTTCCAGAACCGCAAGTCCTGTACCTTCTGAGGAGGCGGGCGGAAAACAGTCGGCCTGCTGAGGAGTGGCTGGAGCTCATGAGGGGGCTTTTTACCCCTTTTCCAGGTGTTCGTGTTCGATGTGGGAAAGGAAACCTGGAAATCCTACGACTGGTCAAAAATCACAACCGTGGCAGCTTTCGGGAAGTACGATCCTGAGCTCATGTGCTATGCTCACTCTAAAGGCTCCAGGATAGTACTGAAAGGTTGGTTGCATTGCAAAAATGTGGATATTTATGTGATACGTGAATAAGAACATAATGTACATAGGGCTATAATACCTTGACATTTCACATTCGCTTGCATGCAGAGTATTAAAAATCAGTAAGAAGATTAATTGATAAAGCAATAATGCACACAGGACTATAATACCTTCACATTTTGCACATGCTGGTACGTAGGGTATTAAAAAGAAAACCAGCGGTGGCTTCTGCCACACTAAAAACAAAACCATTCCAGTGACATCTAAATAAAAGTTCTCTAACAGGGAACATCACAGCTGTGGAGGAACAGGGAGGAGGGGAGGAAAGGAAAAGCCCATAGAAGATATTTGTTTGGGTCTGTATTCTGGATGTTATGTGCAGTACCCAAAAGACAGGGTAAGGGAAAGGATGTTAAGTACTTTTCAGTATTTTTCACTTAAATCAATCCCTCTGTATTAGGAAGTGCTTGTTTTAAAACATGACTACTCGGGAGTCCTGTGCAGGTACAAATGCTGATTAGAAGGACAAAGTCCATTAGAGCTTACACGATGTAACCAAGTTTTGGCTCTGTTGAGGCAAAAACAGAATCCAAGACCACAATGTGGAAAGCAACAAAGGTTAAACATAAAAGTATGTTTACCTAAACAGCAATACACAGTCCATCTGGCTCTGTGGAAATGCTGAAAGTACATTGATTTCAGGAAAGGTAGTTTACAGTGGCTAAAAGAATATTAAGCAGAAGGAGATTAAAATTATAGAAAAAAATCCCAAAGGAATTTAATTTTAAACACCACTATCTCAAAGAAGCTTGGTAATCTCTTCTGGGGTGGGTTCTCAAAAAGCTGCTTGGGGAAAAAAAGTTAACTGCTTTGTATTTTACCACTATGAGCGTGGGGATTTTTTTATTTTGTGTTATGTTTGTTGGTTTAGTAAAGACAAACCTTTCCCCTTACTGTGCTGCAAATATGTGTTAACTCTTGAAGGCCTCTTGTCTAGGTGATGTACCTCTTAAGGAAATTGTTGATCCTGCTAAAAGAACGGCATGGATATCCCAACAGGTGGACCTTGCAAAAAACCAGCATATGGATGGAATTAACATAGATATAGAGCAAGAAGTTAATGAAACCTCCCCTGAGTATCATGCATTAACAGAGCTTGTTAAAGAAACTACAGATGCTTTTCACAGAGAAATACCAGGATCACAGGTGATAATAATGTACTTTATGCGAACATTAAGTTTAACTTTATGAAATGCAAGGAGTTTTGAGAATTCTATTTAGCATATGAATATGAAAACATTTATGCAGATCTAAAGCATGATATTCTCATGAATGGTTAATTATGAATGTTAGCTATGATATGCTATCATAGATTCACTCTTTTCGACCTGTATGAATTTAAATGGAAGAAGGATTTCACTGAGATTTGTAGATACAATGTTACTGCCTTGTGTGAGCTGGCAGTTATTAGTATGGCTTAATGAATCTTTGAAAGTAGGGCAAATACAGCCTTCTGGTGCAAAAGCTTGACAATGTTTTGGTAAACCCATCACTAAAGTTTTAAGGATTTGCATCATGCTTCCTATTTTTGATCAGCTGTTTTTCATGTTATATTTTAATTTCTTTGGTGTTTTGAATCCACTGGTAGGGGCACTCACTGTTTCTTATCTAATGTTTGTTTTATCAGCTGAGCAGCTTCTCCTATAGTTCGTTAGTATCACCATATGTTAAACATTGTGCAACGTTTGGGAAATACTGTTTTTAAAAGTTACAGCTTTTTTTTAAAGAGAAAACAAGAGTGCCGAAGTGCCGTACACAACACTAACTTGTGCATTTTTCCTTCAGGTAACATTTGATGTGGCTTGGTCTCCAGCATGCATAGATAAAAGGTGCTACAACTACACTGGAATTGCAGACGCCTGTGACTTTTTATTTGTGATGTCCTATGATGAACAGAGCCAGATCTGGACAGACTGTATTGCAAAAGCCAATGCTCCTTACCTGCAGACTTTAGTTGGTGAGGACAAAACGCCTCCCCAGGAGTCAGAACATTGTTCACATGAGTAGATAGAAAAGATTGCCTTTTCTTAGACTATTTTTTGGTTGTATTAAGGCTTTTGAATGTGCTCAAATATGTGGTGTTCTAATGTGAAAACAGTATCTCAGATCCTTATGATGCTACAGATGGACCTTCAGCAGCTGTGTGTTGTTACTTAGTAATTGTCTAGCCCTCACGATTGCGAAGAACACTTTTAGAATGACAAACAGCAGCCAAAGCAATGGTGTCTGCCTGGGCTTGCAATGAACCTGAAACATTTCTCTCATCCTTGTGAACTGCTGCTATGGGCAGCTGGTTTTAAGTGTGAGCAACTAGAGCAGTTACTAGGATCTGAATAGAGCAAGTCTAGGAGTATGCAGGTGGGAGGTAAAGAAGAGCTTGCACCTTAGCCTCTGTCTGGGGATCATGCGCGTCCTGTATTTGCTCTGGCTCTAGATTAGTTGTAAGAATAAAAAGCATGGGAACATACAATAATGCATCTTAATTTTTATTTCCTTCAAAACTAGGATATGAAGAGTACATTACTATGGGCATTGATCCGAAGAAACTGGTGATGGGCGTCCCTTGGTACGGGTATGACTATGTCTGCCAAAACCTATCTAAGGTAAGATGAAGATTACTCATTTGCAGTTGTACTGTTAAGTTTTTCCTTGGAAAGAGACAGCTAGATTTTGATGATCCTGTTTTTGGATTAGGAAATACTGTGGTCTGATGGATAAGAGCATAAAGCTGGGACTCAAGACAGAGACTTTCGCTTGGCTGATAACTGATGAGCAGCGTGTTACCAGACAAGGCATTTTATCTCTCCCTAGGGAACCTGAACCCTATGATACCCAAGCACCATGTTCGACTAAGGAGCTATAGATGTTATCTGTATGAGAAGAGATGATGTCCAAAGGCACTACAACACTTGTATCTGCCTTCTCAACACAGTCACTAAGCTCACTGCTTAAAGACTAGGTGCAACAGATGATAGCAAACCTGTGACTGTGGAGTCTCAAACAACATTATAATTATGAAAAATGTAGGAGTCAATTAAAAGTGGACAAGATAAGACAACTGTATTAAGTTGAATGATGTCCATCCAATCCTTCATTACTACAGAGCACACAAAATTTAACTGTGTCTTTAATTTGTGTCTACAAATCTTTCTGCCACAGTTACTTGAAGATTTGGGATTTTTGAGACCCCAATGCATTTTGTGACTTTGTTCTTGGCTGTACTGCTGTTTTGGAGTTCAATAAATCCAGGTAACATGAAACTCATGCCTTCTGCTTTTTTTTCAGGATCATGTTTGTTCCCTTTCCAAAGTACCTTTCCGTGGGGCTCCTTGCAGTGATGCTGCAGGGCGTCAGGTCCCCTACGGAGCAATAATGAAGCAGGTGAACAGTTCTCTTTCAGGGGTGCTGTGGGATGAGGTACAGAAATCTCCATTTTATGAATACAAGGTAAGTGTCTATTTATAAGACACCATGTTGTGGAGTAAGCATTCATGAACCATAGTTCTTTGATTATAAAGTTTTCAGAGTTAGATTCTTCCATTAGTGTTTTCTAGTTTTTTTTTTTTAATGTAGTAAAGGATGGCTGGATTTCCATATCTTGAATTTCTAGTCTGAAAGAGAGGTGCAGTGACTGAAGACTACGGAAGTAATAAAGATCTTTATTTCTTTGCAGTTTTCTTGAGAGATTGTATTGTGTCAAAAAGGACATTTTGGCATAAAGAAATCCTATAGCTCCATCCTTCACTGTTACAGTTACTTTTATGAGTGGATGACTGATTTAAACTAAAACAGATTCTGAGGTGCTCTTAAGTTCTTCTAACCCAGTGGCTTGCATGCATGTTCTCTTCTGCATTTGGTTTCTACACAGATGTAGTGAAAGAGTCAATGAATGATTGTCCTTACACGAACAACACAGTGCATGCATTTTGTCTTGTTTCTTTAGACATAATTTTTTCACATGTAGATGATTAAAAGGTGTTGTAAGCAATGACCAGGTCAAAGCAGTATAACTTTGACAAAATTTTACAACCTCCTCTAAAACTGTTTATTGCTGAAAAAAAGCACTTAGTCTCTAACTAAATTCACCTGTTAGGTTAGATAGTGTATCTGAGATTTTAACTGTATTTTTAAAAATTATTAAAATACAAATTAGCTGAGCCTTTTCATCTAACTTCAGTTAAAATGTATCACTGTTTTGTAACTTAAGGTTCTACAAGTAAAAAAATAGCCAAGTATTTGACTTAATTTTTAGTTGTCCTGGGTGAAAAATAATTTGTAAATCAGGAAAATATCATTGTGTAAATCTACATAGCTTGCATATCTCAGTTTTTAATTGTACTTTTCACTGCATTCAACAGAAAGTGTATCAAACTCGATGAACTTCAATGTATCGTGTTTATATGGATAGGTAGATACTGACGCTAGTGTCTAAATGTTTTTCTAGGATTCTCTTGGTCACTTCCACCAAGTATGGTATGATGACCCCCGCAGCATCTCTCTAAAAGCAGCATATGTGAAGAGTCGAGGTTTAAGGGGCATTGGCATGTGGAATGGAAATAGTCTTGACTATTCCAGGGAAGCTGTAGCGGAACAACAAACTGAAGCAATGTGGCAAGCCCTGACACCGTAAGAACCATGTGAACCCTTGATTTAGAATGATGAAAATTGGTATTTTTTTTTTATCATGGCTTATACTATCATAGATTTTGACTTTATATAAATACACTGTGATTACAAAAACTTTGAGAACTAGCCGAATTCATCTTGTTATTTTGTATGCAAAGCTGTATTTTCATTCTTCAAGAATTCCAATGTTGCTTTAGCAGCATTTTTTTCTAAAAGACTGCTCATCTTTTTAATTTTTCACAACTACCATAAGTTGGTTAAAGCTTGAACCCAGCGTGTATCTGGTAACAAGTAGGACCAAGTGGATTTACAGGAGCAATAATGGTCCTCTGCTGGCGGAGCAGAGGCTGCCTGGTGGAGCCAGTATTTATTCTGGGGTCACACGCTGCAGTCGCAGCTTTCTGACTTCCCACCCCAACCTATATTTTAGCTAAGTCACTTTGAATCAGATTAAACACAGAACACTGGAGAGACAGATTGTTGCTTACATGCAACTTGGTGAAACTTGTGTTTGTACTTGGTTACTCTTTTAGAGATTAAAGTGTTTTATAGACTGAAGAAATTATATAACATGAAGTAGTTGCCATTCAGATTTTTATCAGACTTGTTGTTAGAAAGGAATATTCAGTAAACTGCAATTTCACTTTGTTTATATATCATGTAAATTCCTTAGTTTCAAAAGCCAAAAATCTTGGCCCTTATCTTGAAGAGAGAACATTAATAGTGAGAGGACTTGGATGATGTTTTCTTCCATTTTGAACTTCTTTACTTCCTGAAAACTAGAACTCCGAAGCTTATTTAATGAACTGCATATGTATTTTTCCCCACACTTTTAAGATTCATTCAGTAGCCTGTTGTTTGTTTTTATGTAGTGTTGCCTCCGAGATAATATGCAGCTATATTTTCTTTCTAGTTCATATTTTTCATAAAATAATTCGCCTAGAGAAATTACGTAACTTTAAAAAATATCTGTAGTCATGGAAAGATTGACTGGTGGTTATAGGATTGTTATTGTTAAATAAAATGCTGTCTTCACTAAGGTTGGTAAACAGTGTTGTCTGTTTATGCTTTACTTGTTCCACAGCTTACAGCCCACACTGCTTCTCAGAACTGTTTCACAACCAGATTAAAGTGCAAGTGTGCCCTGCTTAAGTGACTCCATTAATTAAACAATTTATTTAATTAGGTATATGTAGTCAGTTGTAGGGTGTTTGGGTTTTTTCTTTTCCCCCTTGCTAAATAGTTACTGGGAAAACACCATAGAATAGCAGCACTACCAATAATGGCTACTGAGTGGAAGACTAGAAAACTTCATATTGAGTGTCTGACTGCTTGATACTACAGATGATAGAAAGCAGGTGAAGGCTACTGCTCTCACATTAAAAAAATAATTACACTAGAACTCTGGTCTGTAGGTTTTAGGAGAAACTGATAAATTTATTTGACATATAGATACTTCAGAATTTATATTACTATTTATATTCATATGCTAAAATACTGAGAGACAGGTATTTGTGAAATTGAGAGGTCTGCTGGAGCAGATGATCTGAGCTACAAAATCTTTACTGAAGGCCAGAGAACTTTACAATAAAGCTCTCCTTCCTGTAGCAGTCAAGAATCATGAGTTGACATTTTTTATTTTTTAATTTGTGTTCAGATTTTCCAGTAGCTAGTTGCCTGCTGTTGTGTCTTAAATAAGACACAATTCTGAAATACAGGAAATTGAGCAAAAGTGGTTGTAGTTTTAATAATTAATGTAATACTTTAGCACTAAAATCTTTGTTAAATCCTACCTTTAAGAAAATAAATTAGATAATGGGTGGTTTGACTCAAGACATTTGGAAGTTAGTCCTTTTGAGAGTTGCATAATTTTCTTACCGTATTACTGATTTCCCATGAGTGTTTCACTTCCAGTAATAAATACAGCCTTGTCAGCTTTTTAGCTGACATTAATTCCTAGCATGTTACTGTTCGGCTTAACGTAATAACATCTGGAACTGCAAAGAAGCAAACAGGAGAGCTAGAAAAAATGACTGTCAAGAAGAGGTTTCTGATTACTCTTTCAGAGAATTGTTATTTAAGCACATGCATGAGCTTGAACTTAAGAGATTATGCAATACTGTAAGTAGGACCAGGATCATCATTACAGCTTGTCCAAGACAAAGCTTGCATCTTCCACTAACTATATAAGAACATTAATGTCCGCATGGCTGTCCTAATAAGAGAGGGAACAAAGCCAGCTAGATTAGATAGGAAATAAGGTGACATTATCTCAGATTTTGTTCATACTGCATAATAATATGGTAATAATACATTGGTAATTTATAGATAGGCATACTTATAGTGACAAAAATATACTTCAGTAAATAGCTAAATAAAGGATTACTGTTGCTGTAGTTCTACAGAAGATGTATTTTAATCATCTTCCAAAAATTAAATGCATGTGCCTGAAAATAAGAACAGGAGGTTATAGATTATAGGCATTGTTAATGAAAGAACATCAGCATACCAACGTGATGTTAACAACTCACTAATGTGCACTTTTAAAATAACTTAGCTTTTGTTTAGACACATTACTAGGTTAAACTGTATGTAGCTGACATCTCATAGTAAGACTTAAAAAGTGATCTGCAGTACCTCAGTACCTAGTATACAAATTCCACAACATTTATATAGTTGATGTCTTTACAAGATAACTTCAAGAACATACAAACAAACGCTGTGAAATTCTGAGCTTCTACATACATCACAGAGCTTCTGAAGACTTTAAGTCATGTCACCCTCTTAAATTCCTGATTTTCTGGACTGAAGAATTAAAGCTGAATGGATCTTCTTCTGTGTCAGTTCCGCTCTCAGTGCTCGTAAATCAGATGCTGCCTGCTTTCTCATCTGCAGAAAACCCAGTAATTTAAGGAATTGCAACTTAAGGAAGTTTCTGGAGTTGACATGCATAGGGGTTTATATAATTAAGATTGAATTTTATACAGGATGGCTGAATACAGGATATATCTTTAATCTTTAAAATTTTACATGTCTAATTAGATAGCCTAGTTCTAGCACTGCTTTCTTCTGTAGTTCATCTTGGTGCTTTTAAGAGACAACCATGGAATTCATTGCTCTTTCCACTCCTTGCTATACAATGGAGGAGGCATAACAAGTACATCCACCCTAGATTACCCAGTAAGCAGGGGCATGGGCAATCTCTGTGATGTACAGGACTCCTGTTTCATGCATTCAAAGCTGAAAAGCTATCCAATGTGAAGGCCTGTACCATCATCTTCCTTCCAAAGGGAGCCATAGGCAGCACTGGTAAGGAATAAAGCAGATGAAGAGGACTGCCATCTGTTTTGAGAGCCACTCTTTTTTTTCTTTTTTTTTTTTTTTTTTAAGCCATGGTCTACTACTGGTGAGTGCCTCACCAAATATGTTCCTTGAATTACCTTTAGAGTGAAATGGAAATTTTATGAAAGAGATTGCGAAGCCTAGATTTTCAAGGTACTATGTAAGCTAAAAGTGCTTGAATGCCGTACATTCAAAATCATCTAATAACCTGGTGTTCTGGAGTAATTTGGCTACGGTGATAAAGTTACAATGACAACTAACACCACAAAACTAACAGCATAAACCAAGAACCGTTTTGCAAATATTTACACCATCTAATGTGTGGGAAGATTAAGGGGGTTTTTATGCATAGTAACATTTTTACTGTTTTAATTAAAAGGCAGAGTACCTTAATTTCTATTACAAGTTTCATTTTTGTATCATCCAGCTTCCTCCTCAGTTGATCGAGTTCATGCTGCACGGTAGTAATCCGGATGATTGTGTAATTCTGTATGGAAAAAAAACCCAACAAAACTTTTAAGTAAGTGCAGCATTATTGCGTCTCTTCATTCACTGGGTGTTACCTCACCACTCAGAAACAACCCTCTAAACTCTTTCCAACTCCCCTGCCTTCTTCCAGTTCTTAATGCATGCTGGGCTGTCTCTGGTTTGTAAGCAGTCTGCTCTCCGAGAGAGGGCAGCTCCCTTCTGCTGCTAGCCCTTCATCGGGGCGTGGAGGTTCTTCCACTCCCTATTGCTTTGGGAAGTTAAGATCCAGCTCAGATCTCCTGAGTAATAGCACATTGTTTTGCAATTATCTTTTATGGCTACTCCCCATTCATAATAAAAGGGCATACTTCAAATCATTTTTTTTTTCTCTCACAGGCTTAGCATCACTCTGTCACAGTACATTTATTGATGAGATTGCTAAACTCCTAGCTATACAGCACATCATTTCAGCAGTAGCTGTGGGTGGGACTGTCTTTGAATTAACCTGTAAAACCAAAATTCACGTTTTCAAAATGTACGTTCTGATACTCAGCTTCTGTATGTCAGCCATGAAGAAGTCATGGCTTGAAGTCAGTAACGCTGAGGGGTGGGAGCATATGTGGTAATCTCTTGATGTTCCAAGCCTTTAAAAATGCTGTTCAAGTGCCAGTTGAGGCAAATGATGCGATAAAGTTGCCCATATAAGGAATCATTAAGTGGTACCTGTAGCCTCTCCTCTCTGAGCTCCAGCTGTAAGCTTCTCCCCACCCAGCAGTGTAGCTGCCTGTGTACAAGGGTCTAGGTCCCAGCTCTGACACCACATACCTGCATAACCCTGGCTGTGACCACGGAGGAAGCATGAAAGGTACACAGTCATGCAGGAAAAAAACAGGCAGGGCTGTCAGACTAGTTGGGGGCTACTGAAGAATCACTATGTCATTGGGTTGAGTCACCAGTGAGGACAAAGCTGGTGGAAGAGGGGAAACCAGTGACAGCAGGATCTGCTCCCCGGAGCCCGACTCTTCCTGCCTGCCTGATGCAGGTAAGCACGTACCTTACGAGGGGTGAAGAGCATACCTGTGCTTAGCCTAATAGCTCATTAAATCCTGGCTATCTTCTGTGTGTGCTAACCAGTAAATAACTGCTGCACACGTGTTAAGTTGTGCATATCCTTCATGTAAGACCTCTTTGTGCCTAACCAGAGAGACCTAAAAAAGCCCCTGATATCCCCCCCAAAGGAGCAATAACACATCTGAACATAGCTCGTAATATAATGTAATATCAACCCTATTAGTATTTTTATATTGAAGATATTTAATTTAAGATAGCTCAAATAATACACATTTGTATACAATATACACTCTTAGATCGTACATACACTTTCCCACCTTTCAGACACAAGAAAGGGACATTTATTTTTCCTAGTCTTCAGATTTGCCAACAGACTTGCTTCCATTAATGCATTTAGAAAATTAGCAGATACAACTATTGGGAAGGGTGTTTCCCTCCTTACTTTAATCTTTTCTTTTTTTAATTCCTCTCTGAACTTCCCATGATTTGACACCAACAACATAACATGAGACTCACAGTTGCACAATAGTTCAGGTGCAACAACTCCAAAAGCCTCTGACACATTTCTCCAAGCTAGAATTCATTACCTCTGTATGTGAAATTTGGGATTATGAGAACAATAAAGAACCGAACAATTCATCAATCATACTGAACAAAAGGGTATTTTGTTACGAGAAGGTATTGTACAAACACAAAGTAGAAAGAATCAAATGCTTAGACTCAAGCACTTCTTTAGTCTTTTTAAGAACAGGCTGAAGGAATTTTATACCTCAGATCATTGAGGGATATTTGGCTGTTAAAGCTAGTTTACACGTCATTGGTTGGTGATGAATTGTTACTTTAATTTATATTTTATAAAAAAACCCAGGCTGTGTAAAAAGAGAGATTAAATAATACAAGTAAATACCTTGGAGTTTGTCATAATGTTTGGTCGTTTTCGGCTATCTCTGGCTTCCAATTGCAAGAGTAATTTCTGGTGATAAAGCTCTAAATCTTGTCGCAGTTTGTTTAAAGTACCCTCCAGTGAAACCGTAGCTTTCTTAGTTTCAAAGTACTTCTTTTTCCATTCCTCACGAACTACACAGGAAAACAGTAATACTGTTTGGTCTTGTTCACCTTATCATAAGATCTGTTGAAGATAGTAATGACCAACTGATCTCACAAGATTTAGTTGGCCAATACATACATTAAAACATGACAGTAGGTGTCTTTAAAAAAAAGCAATTAGTGAAAAATCATCATTAAAATGACATTCACTATAAATGCAACTGAGTTTTCACACAATCACCTGCAACAAAAGGGTCTATCTGTCCACCGAGATGTAACATAAGGTCCAAACCCAAAATTTCATTCAGCCTGGCTGTTCTGCAGGTTTCAGCTGCACAGTGAGTGCTCCAGACCTGCGAAGATTGGTATGCCCACCACAGTCTGAAGTCCACAGCTTTAGTCTAGCAGAATATTTAGCACCATATATTTATGCAAAATTTGAGCTCTGCAGGGCCAGAGATTTTGAACAACTTAGTTTTATACAGAAGTCCCAAGATTATGGGAAAGAGTTATTTACCTTTACTTAACTATGATTCTTCCTATGTTGTTAATGTGCTATCAACAGCTGGCACATAAATCCCCCGGTATCTGGTGTGGCAGTCTTACAGCCACATACGTCCACTGGTCTGCAAAGTGTCTTAAATGATTCATTCTTTCAAAGGCATATTTTAGGAAATCAGGACAGCTGCTTTGCAGAAACTTACCAAAAAGAACCCAGCTGTTGGAGGACTACACAGTATGAAACTGAGATTGACTGTCAGCATGGCAATCTTAGGAGGATATTAAATATAGACTGGCTCACTGTTCCTACAGAATATGCTCTTCCCTTCATACCTTGTGAAGAAATGTGTTTGCAAATGCACTTACTTATGAAACTCTACAGGTCTGATTAAAAATAATTCAGAGGTAGAGACGCTTCTTAAAGAACCTGCAGAAGCTGTTTGAATCCTTGTGAAGTAACCTTTATTTTACCTGACTGGATAATATAATTTAAGACAATGCAGGACCCATTTAGAGCTTATCTCAGCAGGGTAAATTAGCTTGCCTTGCAGCTCCATGCTACTATAGATTCACTGCTTCAAGTACCCAAGTTTGTTTTTTTAAAATACAACTTCACCATGCTGCAGAGTGCAGTGTAGCCATGCCTTTAGAGAATAACTGGAAGAATCGGCTTGTCTCCTCCTTTCAACAAAGCTACAAATAATCGTTGAGACTCCTAGTGATTTAGCTGTATTTAAGTACAAAGAGAATGCTCTCAAAACATCAAAGTGATTAAACCTCATCTCTGCATAACTGGAATGTGACTTAGGGAGGATAATTTAACTATAAACTTGAAGATAATTTTACAAAGAAAATTTGGGTGGGATTTCAATGAGATTTTACCCTGTTAAAAACCAAGGTTTGTCAAGCTTGTCACGACAGGCTTGTAACTTCCATGCCATAAGCTGAACACCATTAGATAGGAGGAACAAAAAGTATTATGCTGGCAATTTAACTAGAACCCCTATCAACACAGTAAAAACCTCTGTAAGCACCAGCTAAAGGCAGATTTAGAATATGTCAGCTGCCCTGGGCCTCAAACAGCAAAGTGGCCTGCAAGTAGCTTTCTGGGCACTGTACATACGTGGCACACAACTTGAATGGTTTATAAAAAGCCAGGATATTTTTAGATTTATAAGACTGCCATAAAAAAGTGGAAGAAACATTGCAAACTTGAATCTTTCCACCATGCTGTTATACAAATGAGCCTTCTCAGAGTTACTGGTTAGCAAACTCTCTCTCTGTAATTAAGCTCACTGACAAGGAGACAAACATTTTCACATTAGTTTCAGTGTCATTTCTCAATCGTTTGAAATTCCAGAATAAATTAAAAGTGTACCGTGGTATCTCCTCAGCTTATTTTGTTCTAGTAGCCCTTTAGCTTTTTTGATCAGTTCTTCCCTAGTTTTTTCCATGTGCCTTCTGTCTTTCTTCATTTGTTGCAATTGTTCCACCATCTTGTTTTCTAAAGATATAATTATATTTAGCAAGCATCTGGATACTGTAAGTAGGAAGGATAAATCAAGATTTTTGTAATGCACTAATCATAAATCATGCCAAGAGCTCTGTCAGAACAGGCAGTAGAAATTATTTTATTTTAATAAACTATCTCTAACTTTTTAAAATGACTGGTGCATTAGAAAAAAGTGAGAAATCCAGCATGCATCCAGGGATTCATACACCCACACAAATAAGTAAACACCCTTTTATATGCCTAGACAATGTATCACTAAAACTATATATTTAGGATACATATACAGTGCATGCACTGAAAACCCTTGCCACACAAAACCAAAAAAGCCTCCAAAAGACTATTTCCTCCTAAAAATACTTTGCAATATAAACTGTAGCGAAATCTTGACTAAAACTCCAGCTCGTCATAGGCAGGATAGTATCTCAGACTTTCACTAGTCTGCAGCAGTATGTCAATCACTTATCTTTTCACTATCCCCCCCCTCCACCACAGCGAAGATTCCTCAGCAATACTACTAGTGGTTTTCTTTGCTACATTCTCACTTGAGCCAGCAGTATTTCATCCCATCTCCCTCCTTTTCTCCTTCTGTTCCCAAGTCCACAAGCTGGGTTTTCTAGCACTGGGAACCTGCCATGCTCTATGAACACCCCATGCAATTATAAATGCCTGGAATTTTCCAACCACAAATTAAAATTTGTAACAATACTGTGAACGAATGTACATACAAATTCTTTCAGAAAGTAGGTATTTCTGTCTTCATTAACTATTCAGTCTTGATTAAATGTTCACTTCCCTGCAATTTCTTGGAATCATATACTCACTTGCTGCCTGACCTGCAGGAAGTTGAGCTGGATTTACAGGAAGTGCCAGAAAAGGTGGACTAGGAGGCGAAATATATTCTTTCAGACAAGTAAGATGATTTTGCTTGTTTTCATCTGCCTATAGAGTCAAAAGACACAGCTGTAAGTACATAACTCATAATCCTGAATAGTTACATTAGACCTATGCCCTGAAAGTGGCCTGAGTGAATGGGAGGGCTGAATTTGAATTCTGCATATAAGCTTTATTATTCTGTTATCAATACAAATGATTATTAAATTACAAACAGCTGGACCTCTGCAAATAAAATCAGAACACTGAACACTTGCATCACAGAGAACATGCAGACAAAAATGTAGATTATTGCTAATTGTTCTTGTCCATTTTCATAACCCCACAAGCTACTGACACTCCCATGCAAGACCAGGAATAATGGGCCTTAAAACAGCCATCTGGCTCATGGCTTACAAAGTCTGGACTGCCAATTTCTAAACTAAAATTTATAATAGCAGATTTTCAATTTCATTATCATTTTCGTAAGACTCCACTACAATCACTTCTGCACAAGAGCTCACAGGCAACAGTTAATAGTGATGGCTGTTATGCTGTATGATTGCTCTTATTCTGATACTATGACTATATCATACCTATGTTTTAAAGGATTTTATAGTTTTTATCAGAAGTTTTGCTTGGCTTGAGAGAAGACAAATTTATCCTATAGGAACTATGAAATTATAAAAATGTCACCAATAAAAACAATAAAATGTTACTATCAAGAAACAGTAAAAAAAATTCAGCTAACATTACTAAGACTGAGATAGTTATTGTATATGTAGTTCCTGTTAAATTATAACCAGAGGTATAACTTCTGATGATTTCATTGTTTAGGAATATAGTTGATTCTTCATTAGCAAATCTGCTAAGTAGCAGTGCATGAATTAACTTTTTTCAATTACTCTCAAATCTACATTTGAGTATTTCATATTTCTAATGAGTTACCTGTCTTATAAAATTAGACTATTTCTAGGTGGAGGACTATATTTATTGCTCAAGATTACTAAGAATATGTTACCTTGAAAAACACACCTGATTATCCAGTTTTTCACCAGGATCAGCTATAGACTTGCTAGTTCTGTATTGCTGCAAGCTAAAGATAAAACCAAAGAAGCAAGTGAAAATTCATGTAATGAAATGTTTTTTTTCCCCATTTTCTTTCATTTATTTAGTCTGTAAAATAAGTTTCTAGCTATAAATTAATATTATCCATTATTTTAGCCGAATCATTATTCACTAACCTTTGTTTTTTGCATACGTATTCTGTGGTTTGGTCTTCCATTATTTTAAGAATTCCAGCATCCTGTGTTCTGTCTCTTCTTAGTTTGGTATCTTTTTGGTCATCATTATTATCCATGTTTGTTAGTTCTGTGACAGGATAGTGATGATCAAAATACATAGATTACACTCACAAAATTCAAGCTGTTTTGACTGTCAATGCCTGGACTTTCCAACCTGTGTTAGAAATTCAGTGAATCCATCCAATAAATAATGTTATCTCTGGGGTTTGGAAGTGTGTGAATAATAGAGTAAATAAATAAATAAGTAAGTATTTTTGTTCTGAGAATTTGTATCTAACTAATTTTGCTATCTAGTACAAGGAACATTACCACAGGAAATTAAGGAAACCACTTAATTATTTCACCTTCCCTAGACTCATACAGTATCTAACACCTTCTGCCTTTCAGAGACTGAAGCTGGAGCTGGCAAAGAAAGGGAGAGCAAAATGTTCTGCATTTAGATGTTAGTGAATAAATGTTATCTGCTTTAAAATATATACAATAAATATTTCAAAAGAAAACTGCTGACAGACTTTACCTTTACTACTACAAAATCCTACATCCTTCATCAGTGAACATAAAGTTATGGAAAACTTTTCAGTTACATATTTACATATATATTTATATATTAAATGGTCTCATACTTAAAATCAGTTATGATGATGATGGAGGGTTAAAGCTATTTTTGACAGATTATGATTGGAAACTGAAATTACTGAAAAGTCATCCATGAAACCCTTTTCTAATACGCTCTCCAGACATGTCTCAAAGAATACAATATCCAAATTTTTGTTTTCTTACTCAAAGTGCTGGATATCCAGAAAATCATTCTAACTGAAATCTATCCTCATACCTATGAAAACTTGAATATTGCTCCATTTAATAATTACTCATTAAAAATTTGCAATAGAATAAAGGTCACTTTTTTTACACTAATTGTAAAATTCTACTCAAATATCAAGACTTGTCTTTCAAAATTATTTCCTCAAAACCAATTTATGTTATAATTTTGTCCTAATCCAGCAGTAGTCATTCAACTTCAATTTAAATGTGTCAGTCACTTCTTCCTTGTTAATCACTAAAAATTTAGGAATATTAAGAACATTATATAACCATTCAGGGACTTAATGGCCCTCACTATCCATAAGACACCCCATTTTAAAGGAAGTAGTAGTTAACAGATCTCTTCCAAACAACATTCTCTATTTCAGCACAGAACTGTTATCTAGTTAGTATGTGCTTTAAACCCCTCCATACTTTTGTACTATTTTCACTGCAGTCTGCTCAAAGAGTTCTCTCGCCTCTCAGTTTTAGGAATACCACTGTTCAACAGTATATAAATAAACATTATATGGGCGGGAGGAGGGGAAACACTTCCTCTTCAGTACTAATGTAGCCATGGATAAGATGACAGTGAAAGCTGAAGTGAATAAATGCTTGCCCTGATATATTGATAACAAGATTTTTTTCATTTAAAATTGCTGTTGAATTATGGGATCGTTATCCTCCAGTCTTCACTGTAGCTGCTTAGTAATTTTTTTCATATAAATAAGATTAGACCAATGCATCAACTATAGCAGTGTTTCCCTCTGTCAGTACACAGTGATAAAGAAGGACTCATCCAAAGTAAAATTACAGCTCTTTGAAAGATATCATCATTAAAAAAATTAGAATACTGTTCTGATAACAATATTCCAACTCATGCTTTAACTATAGATTTCTTAAAACTTAGTTTCACTCTGTCAACTTTCTAAAATGCATGCTTTAGCAAAAAGATGACAATGAACAGTTGTACCCTTTCGGTATTTAATGTGATTTTGGGGTCTTTGGTTATTCTGGCCTTGTTCATCACCGTGGTTTACATGAAGGGTAAGAGCAGTTCCTTTGGCTTTGTCATTCCACTTAGGAGTGTTAGGCTCCTGATCTTGGCTGAGATGATTTTGCTGAGAGGTCTGTAATATCGTATCACTCTTTCCAGACTCCCAATCTGCAGGATTTGAATGACTTGGTGTGAAGAGAGATCCACTGGATCCATTTTGATCTGCATAATAATTCATATTAGAAAACAGAAATATTATTATATTGTAAATGTTAACCACAATACTTATTCCTCTCCTCCTTCACCATCCTCCTTCACTACATTGGTTAAACTTACCTTTTCCTCTAAACTGCATCTGTTTTTCTTGAATCCTGTTGTTACGGTCTTGCTTATGTTTTGTGTGTAAAACTGGAACATGTTCTTTCTCAACCCATTCCACAGGACTGTGCATCTCCTGATTTTCTAGCTGATGACTGCTTTGTATGCTTTCTAAAAATTGTTTGCTTTTTTCAGGTTTTTGTTGGGGAAGATTGGATAATCTTGATCCATGACCAAACCTATTAGCTTCTTCATTAAAGGGATGTCTCTGTTGAGTAGATGATGATAATGGATAAACATCTTCAAAGTATTCCACTCCAGGTAATAAATATAACTCAGGATAAAGTGCCTAAAATATGTAGTATATTAATCAGACAGGACAAAAGAGGAAATGTACAATGTAAAAAGCCATTCAATATACTTACATAAGGAGGAGCAAATGACTTCAGTTCCAGTTCTGTTTCTTGCTTTGCTTTCACCTTGGAAGATACAGAATGGAAGCCTAATCAATAAAATACTTTATCAATAATGTTGCATATCACTTAATTTCTGTGTTCTATCATCTTCTTTACATACTACATTTTTTCATAACCAGCACTATCTTCTATAATGGCCTTATGGGGAAGAAGGAACATAATTCTATTTTCCGACACGGTACTGAAACTTTATTTTGTCTATTTTTCAAAATCTCAATCAGACCCACAAAAGTACATGGATGTACTGAATAATTTTTTTTATCCTTTGCACTTTCTCTTACAGTTCAAAGGACCTGATCCAACAGTCACAGCAGAAGAAAGTTTGACTTTTTTACCAAAAGTTGCTTCAAGCTGAATCTGAATAGAAATGCTGGGTCTCACCTAATTTTCTCTATTTACCTGATACAGTACTGCAAAATATTTAATGTACATAGAAAAAAAAAATCTATTACGTCCCTATGTCTTCTTGTATTTATTGTCTTGATATTCTTTGTGTGATATACACTTTCAGATTTCAACAGTCACCCTAAAAAAAAAGTCTAAAATAATCACCATATATTTGAAAGATGTGCTCCAACAGGAAAAAAAAAAAAAGAAATCTGGGCTTACATTTAAACAATGAGATTGAGCTAAACATGGGGCCAAATTCTATTCTCAGTAACGGCCAGGCAATGCCATTGATTCACTGTTAGAGACACAGGCTGTATGCAAGAAAGGGAAGAGCAAATGAACATGATTTTGGTTTACATTTATTTTTCATTTAAAGACCCTTACTTGCAAGTAGGGTACAGCTCTTAGTAACGCTTACATTGTTACTGTTGTGAAACAGAAGACTGGGCGGAAAAAACCCCACAAAAACACTCAACAAATATTTGATCATGGAGATGTAATTCAATGAGGTTACCATGACCCTAAACAACAAATAAATCAGTTACCTTGTTTATTGCTTTACACTTTGTTATAAACATCAAGCAACAGTAAATACCCCAAATTAAAATTATATCTTTAATTTGCCACTAAAAATCTTCACTTGTATCTAACAAGATCTTTAATTCTCTATTAAAGTAAAATATTTTATTAGTTTCCTGACATTCTAAAGGAAGCTGGAAAATGTCTCCATTTATCTCAGAACTATCAGTTGGGAAGAAAATATACCATCGTACTTTTTATCAACCAGTTAAAAAGACCTGAATTCTTTGAAGACATATGCACATTTTCAGATTTAGATTGTGTCACAGTCTAAGTTTCTCTTTGTGTTTTTCCACCTAGTTTTTGCATATTACTTAGTATTTATTCTAGTCTTCTGTGTGAGTAATTTTTGTAATAACTCAACTACAAATGAAATAAAGAATGGCACCAAATTTCCAGCTTGTAATTAATTTCCAAATCTGTGAGAAACAGGTGAAATGAGAGATGAAAAAAGTATTCTATACTTATGTACCTGACTTAAGTCTTTGTGTATTACAAGAACAAACTTTCAGTTGGACTGATTTTCAAGTTTATTTAACCTTTAGCTACAGTTTGTAAGATATAAATATAGAGAGAATCGATGTGAGGAACAGTTATGATTCAGAGATGTAGGTTTTTGATTACATACATCTCAGGCTGTGTTACTGGACAGTGGAACACAAATGTACATCCAGAGAAGTTTTCATTCAGAGACTGATCTTTTAAAGGCTTTTGGGCAGGTCACAGCTGGAGCCATTACAGGAACTCTGACTTGCCCAGCTTCCATTGCAAATTCTTCAACTGTCATATTCCCAACCATGTACTGGTAATAACGACCTTAGGGGGGCTTTTTGGTTTTTTTTAAATGCAACCAGATTTGTCATATTTAATCCATTTACTTATCAAAACTAGGATCTTTTCACTGGGTGGCAACTAATTACATCTGATGCTTTAAAGGATGTTTCTAATATACCTGTCCAGCTGTGCCTTTGTATTTGGGGAAGTAGGTGTTCTCTGACAAGAGCTTATGCTCCAGCATGTTTAAAAACAAATGCTAACAGAGTTCCTGAAGTTATCTCTGTTTTCTTGTGATATTATCTAATCTGCAGGAACAAAATCTGTGGTTTACATTATAAAGCAGAAGAGCACTAAAGAAAAAAATATTAACTTACCACTGCTAGTTTTTTCCCAATGCATTTTAAAAATTTGAATTTATCTGCAACTCCAACTCCACCCAGGTACTCCCCAAGCTTCTCCCGTAGCACTCTTAATGTGATGTGAGGAGACACCCTAGAATGTTGTTATTCATTAATACATCTGTAAGATCAAATAATGATGGCTAGTTAGTAAGAGGGGGAAGATAATGCTATATACATGCTGGCTTGCATGGACAGAATGACCAAAAATGGGAACTATGTCCTAGAACTAATCTAATTACATATAGGCCAGCGAGTCTTGGTATGGTAGAGTCAGAACATTGTATCATGTTATAGTAGACTGTATTACAAGGGCTGTCATAACATTAACTAGCAATATTCATATTTTAGCAACCCCATACAAAGGGAGAATATGGAAATAGCTGAAATTTGAAAATGACTCCTTCAGAATGCTCTTGCTCATCTGCAGATGAATAACAAAACCAATGGAAACTACAGTCATGCATTTCCATACAGGTGACAAAATGTTGTGGGGCCGGTCCAGGACTGTTGAACATACCCCTTCAAGCACTTAGGGCTAGAGGACACTTCATCGCTGTCCACTTTAAGTAGCAGGCACATTCCTTTGATTTTGTCTTCTCCAATGCAAATTGGAGTGGGTGTTTGCATGTGTATATGCAAATGTATTTTAAATCAAAACCAAACACTGCAGTGTGAACATTGCCACAATAGTTTGAGGATGAGAGAGCTGACACAAATATGAATTGCATCATTTAATGTACTACTGGAAACCATGCAAATATTAAAGTAATGAGCTCAGTATAAAAATCACTATAGAATAAAAAGCATCTCCGCAGAATAAAACCAAATATGCAAGAGGCACACGAAAGCTCTGCAGGACAATATAAGCAATTCTAATTGCTCCTATGCTGTCACATAAAATAAATCAGGGAACAAATTCAGGCCTGAGACTGTTAATCACCCATGCTGATTACATGTTAGTATACTACCTAGCATGATTTTGGCCTAGGCAGCTATCAAACAGCCTTATATACCTTCATTTCACATCCTAGGTATGTAAAAACACCCTCAGTTTCATCTCATAAACACAGTACTTCAGTGGGCTACAATGCTTCCCTTGCAATATTTCAAACACCCTGGACTTAGAGGACCCTTCTCAAGTTCATAGATCTGCCTTGGAGCACAGGCATACAGCAGAGGAGACCAAAGTCTGCAGAGTGGACACATCTAGGCCACACTGCTTGGTCCCTGTACATTTAGCTCCTCTTTATTTCTTGCCCATTTTTTTGCCCACACTTGCTGCAGATATTAGCCCTAATATAATTTATTTCAAATGTATAAAGAAATATGTGAAAGATGGATACATAATTCAATACACATTCTTCCAAGGTCTTAAGTGAGAAGAGATTGTCTATAATTCAAATATCTCTCATTCACCATCATTTCTTCAAGCTGATGTCTCAGAGAAGATACGCCCCTTGAATGCTCTTCTGAAACCCAATAAATGCAAGCTCTTTCAGAAGCAATTCTAACACTGCACATCTTTCACTGATAATGCCTGTCCAAACCAGCAAGGAAATCTAAATCCAAGGCATTTATGAACAGCAGGGAAAACATCTAAGTAACTATGATGCATCATGGGAGAAAATCATCTAACTATACAAAACCTGAGATATAGGGCAGAAATTTATCTAAAAATTATTTGCCAGTGCAGCTTCTAGGAACATAAAATAATATATTTCTTACTTGCTGCCACTGGCTAGCAAAAGACTAGTGACATCCAAGTCATTTGCTTCAGGGTGTTCCTTTAAAAGTAATGCAAATTAGAGTTCATTGCAGCCATCTCATCTAGAAATAACAAAAGTATGGCTTCTGTGGTGAGGAATGAGGAATAAATAAAAGATCACAGAGGCTCAGAAATCAAGTTCATGGGAACTCAGGGCCATAGACAATTACACACTTAATATTTTCCTCTAATTTTGTGATTAATGGAAGTGGCCTGTACTTAGACCCAGGAATCCTTTGTTAAGCTGACTCAGACAGTACTAGGATTGTCAAGCTGACTGGACAGTGCTCTCAGTGCTCTCAACAGCGTCCAAACAGCATTAGTACCAGCAAGGCTGCTGCTACCTCTCCAGAATTATAATAAGAGAAGGGGTTTTTTTGTTTTTATAGACAGTGATACACTGGCTGGGTGCTAGTTATTGCTAATGTACTGCAGCATTGCATAATACCCATAGAATAATTAATTAGCAATTATTTAAGACTCATTAGCAAGCAACAAATACGTAGACAGATATAAACCCACTGAAATCAATGAGAATCCTAATTTAAGTCAATGCCTCAGAATTGAGCCTTAGTGAAATAAATTTACACTAGAGAAGAGAGGCAGTGACAGGTGTCCAATCACATGAAATGATTTGAAGTTACCACTCCAGCAGTGCATTTTACACCTCTGCTGGAGACTAGAACAGCAAACAAAATGGACTCATGCACTTATTTCCTCTGGTTTTGAGCAGCCTTTCAACAAAAGAAGCTGTGAGAATGAATACATTCTGCCCTACATGCTCCTGACTGCTGTCAATCTTTTCAGCTACACTGTATATTGTCTTAAGTGGACAATACAAGCCTGAATTTAAATTGGTTAAAACCCATATTCCCTGTAATTTAAGCTAAATTGACAGGTTTTGCACAGGAGCAGACAAGGTGCATGTAAAAGCTCCATTTGAATACACATTTACATTATTTGATTTTTCTACAACTTCTTACCGCACTAGATACATAGAGATTTTGTGAGTAAAGTTTTTAGGAGTATAAAAGAAACTGTCAAAGATTAAATGCAAGATTAATACTGCAACTGTCTGTACCAGGTTTGGGCCTAGGACTGGGAACCGGGGTATTCTTTCACCAAGTCCTGTGAACAGCTACCTGAGAGCACACATAGCACATCATGTTGTGTGCAACCTTTCAGAATTACTACTGAAGAAGAAAGAAGAAATGCTGGTGGCTGCATGGGCTGTAATGCTTCCCCTTGAGTAATATGGCTTAAACTCTTTCTTTGGACTGAGAGCGCTCAGATGGTCATATGCCTGTTCCTGGGAATTGACAGGCTGTACCGTCTTCATCAAGCCAATCTGTCTTGAAACTGGCCTGTTGCCGAAAAGAATTCAAGATTTTGATAATCAGGCTCAAGGAGACAGAAAGAATGCAAGACTGATTTTACAACATAAATTATTCTGCAGAAATACTAGCACTGCTCTGGAAGGGCGTTTCAATGGTCTACACCAAGGGCTGCAATGGAGCTAAGCCTGATACAGTCCAAATTAACGTAACGCTAGTCATGGGCACCACTTACCCTCCAGAAATTATGAGAGAATAAGTCTCTTCTGACACATGTAATTTTGCTCTATAGAGCAACAGCTGGACTAAATGACTGAAGGACAATGTGAAGGACCCACCATGTACAAGAAACCTAACACTATACTCACCTTATAAATCCAGCGGAGATGAATTTGCTAGTAAGAGCTACAGGAACTGTATTCAGCTTGAAGTTCCACACTTCTTCTGGGACATAAAAAACATGGAGCTCCACCAACTATATAAAGAACAGATGATTGTAACTGTAGATATACTATAACCCTCTTCCCATATGTTTTGTTTTGCTTAGGTACACTTTCGATTTCTGGAGGTGGGAATGGTTTCTTTGATGTTAGCACAGGGACTAGAAGAATGAGGCTCTATCTGATAGCGATGACTAGATAGTGAGAACAGCAATGAGTAAAGCAATTTGTGATTGAATGCCAGCTGACAGCATCAAAATAAGTCACATTAGAACAAGCTCAACAATGGAAATGAGAGAAAAGAGAGCCTGTGCTACTGCTGTATGTCACTGTGACAGCAATGGACGGAGCTTACCAAAACTAGCTGATACTCTGGAGCGTGTCATGGTTACAAGAACACTTCAGCTGAAATCCTACCTTTGTTCATCTCATAAAAAATGCAAAGCCCTGAAAGCTTGATCCAAACAGCACCACAACTTGACCTTGCCAGCAAGAAAAAAAATTCAAAATATTTCTGACAGTTGTTAATAATATTACCTACTTTGGAAGCACAGAAATGCTCCTGGTAATGTCTGCAAAAAGAATAACTAAGCCTGCTCTGAGCACGGTTCACTTAGATTGCGTTCAAACCTGTGGTAGTTGGTCTGTTAATGTCTAGGTCTTGATATTTTTAGTGAAAATCAGATGGTATTGACAAGGACAATACACTTCCCTATAACTAAAAACCATGCAAATAAGCTATATTAAATATTTCTGCAATTGTTGAGTTACCAAATATAAAGTAGAAAAGAATGCTTTCTATATATATGATGTTAAAAGCACATTTTTTTCCTCTCAGGTCTCCTAGAAATGGTGCAGTGTCACAAAATATTAAAATATTTTTAATTTTTATTTCTGAAATCTAAAAAAATCTTTATGGAAACATACAAAAACTCTCACCTGTGATGTTCGAGGTCTCATTTGACTGAACGACATACTGGTCCCTATACTTGATCACAATGAATGCCAGGTGGGCTTTCTAATTTTCTTTTTGATCAAAACATTATTTAGGAATGAGTTTCATGATAATCTGTTACGAGAGAAGTTACTCCATCAGTATCCTATATTTTCATTTAGTGTTCTTCTTTCCATTTATGAAAATGGAGAATTTGTTCCTGTGCTGAGGCAGAAAGCTTCCAGCTAACTGCAGACAGACAGGCTCAGCCACACCTTCTACACAAGTATCACCTAAGTAACTGGGGGAATTGCTAAATCACAGCCCTGCAGCTCTGAGAGATCTGCCCTGGAGTATTTCCTCTTAACATTTTCTCACCTTTCATAAAAATACTTCGGCTGTATATAATTTTCTGCACAACTGTACTGTTTTCCTAAAGACACAGACCTAAATCCCCACAAAACGGGATTCTTGCATGGTCTGGGTTCATCTCTGATAAAGGGACAATTACTGTGAACTGCAGCCAAGCCACATGCACAGCACATTGCGCTGGCCAAACGCAGTATTCCAAGGAAACCCGAGTGCGCCGGGCAACCATGTCAGAAAAACCCTTTCATAAACTATAGACCATGGTTCTGCCCTAACCTCATTATGACTTTCCTCAGGAAGTGCTCTCACTTTGAAGGCTCTTGCAGCACCTCAGAGGTTACAAACCTCCTCCTGATTTTCAGCCTGCTGAATGCCCCCGCTGTTCTCCTGACCATCTTAGCAGCTCTCCTTCGTACCCCTGCTATTTCTAATTCACCTTTTCTTGAGCACAAGTGACCAGCTCTTCCAGTTGACCTTCCAGGTCTCGCCCTGGCTCCAAGCAGTGGAATTAAGATTTCCTTGTATCGGTGGGAAGCACCTACTTAAAGGAGCCTGTGTGTTTACTCGCCTCTTCACAATTACACCGCAACGAGCCCTGACGAATGACCCGACTTAACATCCCGTCACTTCTCCAGCTATTCCCAACCAAAGACACAGCAGGTTACGGCACAAGTTCTTCCCGTTAGCCCCTGTATACGTGTGAGATGTTGCACTGTGCATCACAACATGTCACCCCGCGCCATTACTCCAGGCTTCACCGCCATTCCTGGGCGCTTTCTGTGGCAAACACCCATCTCCTCCAGACTGTAGTCAAGACCCAAACACGCTGGCAAGAGCGCAGTTAGTAACTTCATTCGTTAGCTCTCAGAGTAAGCTCCAGACTAGTAACTCGCTGGATAGCACCTCCAAGATTTGCCACCTTGGTCGTAATACCGTCTTCTCTTCTAACCCGCTTTATAGATAAACGGGGGGGTAGGGGCCACATCTTATGTCCGTGTTGCCAGGCGGCTCCCCCCGCCCCGGGCATACAGAGCTCGCAGGGGAGCAGCCGCGAACCACAAGCACTCGTGAGACACCCGGGCACCGGCCTGCCGCCGGGCCTCGGGGCCGCCGCCGGGCCTCGGGGC